GTGGATGACGAAACCAAGGAATCTTCCCGAGCTAACCCCGAAGATGCACTTCGCGGGATTTAGGCGCATGTCAAACCGCCTGAGCCTTTGGAATGTCTCTGCCAGGTCGACCAGGTGTGTGCTTGAAGCCTTGCTTTTCATGATCTTGTCATCCATATACTCTTCCATGTTCCTCTCAAGCTGTTGCTTGAACAGCTTGTTGACCATTCTTTGGTAAGTCGCCCCAGCGTTTTTTAGTTCGAAAGGCATTACTTTGTACCAATACACTCCTCTATCGGTGATGAAGGCAGTGTTCTTTTGATCTTATGGTGCCATCCGGATTTGGTTGTAGCCCAAGAATGCATCCATAACCGTAAGGAGTTCATAGCCTGTGGTGCCATCGACCAGCTGATCTATCCTTGGGAGTGGATAGCAATCCTTGGGGCATGCTCGATTGAGATCGGTTTAGTCAACACATCCTCCAACTTCCATTGGGTTTCTTTACGAGGACTACATTCGACAGCCATCGAGAGTCTTTCAACTCGGTTATAAATCCTACCTCTTTAAGGTGGTCAACCTCGTCGCTGATCACCTTCCATTGGTTGGGAGCAAACTTCCTTGGCCTTTGCTTCACCGACCTAGCCTCGGGGTCGATGTTGAGCTAGTGCTGGGTCACTTCTAGGTTGATCCCGAGCATCTCCTTTGAGGATCATGCAAACACATCGACATTTCCTTCAAGAAATCAATGAGCTGGAGCTAGTTCGCTTCGAGGAGTGTCGTCCCGATCTTCACAGTTAGATCGGATCGGTTCCTTTTTAGGGGGGACCTCGACGAGCTGTTTGGGGGGCTCCATGTGCATTGTCATCACGCCTCCTTCACGGGGATCCGGGACTTGGCGGGGGCGTGACTTCTCCGGGAGAGTAACTGCTGTAAGATAGCACTGCCTTGATTCTCCCGAATCACTTTGGGACTCCCCAACCCTCGCCGAAGTTGGAAACTTGATGGCCCGGTGGTAGGTGAAAACCACTGCTTTTAACTTGTTGAGTGTCGGTCGGCCAAGGATGACATTGTAGGCTGAGGGTAGATCGACTACCATGAAGGTAGTCATTATCGTCTTTGCTCTCGGCTCTTCCCTGATGGTGACAGGGAGGATGGTGGTCCCGAGCGGGGAGATAGAATCTCCAGTAAATCTTACGAGCGCCGAGTTCATGGGAGTGGGATACTCTTTGGTCAAGTTGAGTTTCTTGAAGGCATCGAGGTATAGTATGTCGGCGGAGCTCCCGGTGTCAACCATTACCTGTTTGACCCGAGCATTGGCGATCCGGATTGAGATCACCAAAGCATCGTCGTGATGGGAGTGCTCGACCTCCTTGGCTCCGAAAGTGATTTCAGGCTCGAGCTCGAGTTGGGGGCATTTTTCCATCGTGCTCCAGGCATAGGCCGCTTGTCACAAGGCTATTGTAATTGTAATTATAATTGCAATGTAAGCTATTGTAATTGCAACACTGTAGTTGTCGTAGCTGTTGAATCTTGGATTTTGATGATAAAATCAATTGATGGGTTAATTGATCTAATCCATATTATTGAGTTAAGTGTGCAGGATTAACTACGATAACCAGAAAACATAAAGCAAGAATACTGGAGTCAAGTTCGATGGACGTTTAAGAGACCGAAGAATCGTCGGAGATGCTGCCGGAACCAACCGAGAAGAAATCGGGAACCTGTCGGAATTTTCGGAAGTTCGCCGAAGAGATCGTCGGAGGTTCGCGGAGATCACCGAGAAGGCTCGGCTACTCGTTAAAGACATCACAAGATCGGGAGCTTGCTGGGAGTCCGTCGGAAAGCTCGCCGGAACAAGACTCGACGTTCGTGGTTGAAAACTTGCTTAGGATATTTTTAGTTATGTAGTTCACATGTAATTAGGATTAGGATTAAGAGATAATCCTATATCCTAGTTAGGGGCCAATTGGGCCCAAAACTAGACTTGGTTTGGGCTGAAATTAAAGCCCAACCTGTGAACCGAAGGGTCTGGCGGTGGCACCGCCCAGCACCCGAGAGCCAGGCGGTGGCACCGCCTGGTTGGGCGGTGGCACCACCCAGCACTCAAGAGCCAGGCGGTGGCACCGCTTGGCTGGGTGGTGGCACCACCAGTCCACTGTCATTGTCAGATACTGACAGGCGGTGGCACCGCTAGCATCGGGAACCAAAGAGAATTCAAATTTTGGAGCCCAAATTTGAATCCTCTTGAGGCCTATAAATACCCCTCAAATCTCAGCTGAGATAACAACTTTTTAAGAAGCAATTGATAGAGAGAAAGGTCTTAGAAAAGTCTTAGCAAGTCTTGTTTTCAATTTGCTAGTGTTCACCTCCTTCTTTCTTGCTGAAAATCTGTAAGAGAATGAACCGCTTGTAAAAAGTTATAAGAGGGGTATTTGTCCTTCCCTTTCAAGAGATTTGCTAGTGGAAGGTGGGAGCCTCATCGAAGAGGGCCTCGCAAGTGGATGTAGGTCATTTGACCGAACCACTTTAAAATCGGCGTGATCTCTGGTTTGCATTTCATTATTGCTATTTACATTACTGCAAACCTTCTTACGTGCTTTAATTCCTCATTACCTTTGCTGCACAACTTTACGAATACGCTTTCAAGTTAAGCACTTCCGAGTTCGATTTTTATCGTACGAAAGATTTGTTAAAACCGTTGTTTTAATCCGCTGCACTAATTCACCCCCCCCCCCTTAGTGCCGCTCCGATCCCAACAATAGCTACCATATGTAATGGTGTTGCTACAACTGCTTGCAACCAAGGTAGGTCACTTGTCACAAGGCTACTACAAATAGGCAGCCATGCACGTTGTTGTTGTTGACTATTGCAATTTACAATGCTTTCGTTATGAACGAAAGTCATTATCCATAATTGGGCTAGCGACCACTGAAGGTTGCCACTGTCAACTATATTATCATTGATAGCAAGCTGTTGATAGTAGTCCATTGATCAAACTTAAGGAACCTTGAATTACCTACAAGCAAGTGACAAAATGAACTAGATAGAATGTAGATCGATAACACAAATAAATCATTTAATTATTATAAATAAAAGCCAAATAACATTCTTTCGCAAGCGAAGGGTGTTAATAAATAGATCTAAATATAAAATAAATCTAAAATACTTTTATGATCTAAAGTATTTGATTTCAAAATGACTCTAATACTAATTGTCAATATAAAAATCAAGTAGGATTTTTTTTCAAAACTAATTCAATTTTAAGTTATAACTATGATAGTTAATGCTAAAATAATTAAAATACAAGCAATCTAAGTTGTTCGGCACATTATTGTTCAACCAAACTTTATGTGAACTTTATGTGAACTTTCGGCGAACTCCCAATGAACTTCCAACGAGCTTTCACTACATTGTCCGATCCTTCGGTGTATCTCTCGATTCATCCGACTCGATAGTCGATGCCTAATCATTGACTCCAGCCTAACTTCGATTCTTCTTTAATCGTTTTGTCTTCCTCGGTTAGTCATACATTACTTATCTCAACACATGGATTAGGTCATTAATTCACCAATTGATTTTCATCATCAAAATCCTAGATTCAACATTCATATCCTTTACAAGACCAACGATGAGTTACAAGCAAAAGGGAGGAAGATCTATAATCTCTCAATGACTAATTGTTTCATCCGTCTTATCATTTTTTATAAAAGGGAGCAAATGGTCTAGAACGATAACTAGAAAAATCCCTACCGTCCACGTCATCTCTTAAGGAATACTAGTATAATTGGACATCCTTTCGGTTGGTAAATAATTTAGAATCCAACCATATTTATCATATATGTTATTTAATTAAATAGATCACTTAATTTAACCATAAGATATTGAAAGAGAACCTAGAGCTCGCAGGCGATCATGAAATAACAGAGCGTGTGAGAGTATAATAACAAGAACTTCCATTTTAATTTCTTTTGTCAATCATAAAAAATTCCTTAATTTTCTTCATTTATTTTTATAATTAACACTGTTATTACTGGTTGTATATAATCCCTTCATTGAAGCGTTAAGTATTATTATTTCGTCGAATGACGTGTGTAGTATGTTTTTTTAGAGAGCAGTAAATGAAAGTGGAAACGTTAAATTGACGATGGAAAGAGAAGTTGAGCGCTACGGGGAATGGCCGGTGATTAATGCCGTTTGGCATGGGACCAACACTGCCTCCAATTCTGAGACAGGTGGGCAAATCGGGTAAGAATTGTCAATAATCGAGCTGTAACCACCTCCATTCAAACCCAAAACTCCCATCAATCACAAGACAGGTAGGTGATTAGGGTAAGGTTTCATTCTCAATAATTGGGACCCCACCACATGCCCGAACCAAACCAAACAGTGACGTCACACGTCGCAACCATCGCGCCATAATACGTTACCCCCACAACGTACCGGAAAGCAGGGCTCGAGACGCTGCTCGGGCCCGCCGAAACTAACCCATCCCACGAACCGGGATCCTCTTCATGACCTACACGTCTCCATTGGTGACGTGGACCGTCAAGATTCTTCCGAGCTTCGGGAGACATCACATCGGATGGTCGGGGCCTGGACGGACCCGTCTCCTTGTGGAGTGGATCCCACCGCCTTCTTCCCTCCTTAGGGTTTCCACGTTGAATCGAAAAGATCGGGACGAGTTGGGCCACCGAGAGCGCGCGCGTCGCCGACTCGAACGACTCATCTCCACGCCTCGGACAAATATTCCAATAACACGACGTTAAAAACAGAAAAATAGAAGGCTTTTTTTGATGTACAAAGCGACTGAGAAAAATATTCCAATAACACATCAGTGTTTAACATTGCATCACAGCCATCCATTTGATGTACAAAGCGACTGAGCAAGGAGATCGGACGGATGCCTTTTTTTTCCCCGTGTGGCAGGAAAAAAATTCAACCAATATCAGTAAGAAAAATGAAACAAATATAAAAAAAGGAATTCTTAATAGAGGGGAAGGGGGTGGTCGCGCCATATCCTTCTCAACTCGGAACACTATAATTTCCCTCCTTTCCCTCGTTTTCTTCTCTGCGCCTTTTTGACCCCCCACACCCCAACCCCCCCCGGCGCACGCCCTCTTCCCTCGTCCTCGTCCACCTCGATCCGGAGATCCCACATCTCTGATCTGAACCCCTGCCTTGATCGGCCCCCCGCCGCTTTCCCCCTGCCGGAATCCGACTAGGAACGAGGCATATGCCACGGGTTCTGTATCGGTGGACGATCTGGGTGTGTTAGCCTGGAGATCGGTGGTCTGTGGGGTTTCTGTTTTGTTTTTGGGGTCATTTTGCGGGTGCCCGTTTGATGTCGGGCGGCCGAGCTGCTGGGAGCCGCTCCGCACAAGCGTCAACACCGATCCTCCAACAGCCGAAGCAGCGGCGACGCGTGCTGTTCTCCTCGGCGAGGCCGCCTTTTGTTACCCCGGACGAGTACCACAGCTTCCCTGCGCCCCATGGGCGGCCGATCGCCGGCAACGAGATGGTCGATGCCCTGGTCATTAAATCCCCTGTGAGTTCCCGCTGGGATTTTGTCATTTCGTTTTATTTGTGCTCGACGAACTGAGACATTTCACCCGATTGCATGTCAATTATCTTGCGCCTCTCCTTGTTTTGTATAGACTTAAACGATTTGCTTATTTATTTGGATTATAATTTTTAAGAAGTTAGAGACGACATTTTTTGTTCATACGAAGTATGACCTCGTAGATCTAAATTTCTTTACTAGTTTACATTTTCGATATAAATAAATGTTTGCAAAAGATACGTTGCAGTGTTAAATTTGGAGTCTCCATTTACTACTGACCAAAGCTGAGAAATTTAGCCATCTCATGCAGCGATATGCAACATCTACTGTCTAACATTTTGTGCTTCCATGCTTTTATACTTTGATCTTAAGATTCTGTGAAATCCCAAATATAAGCTGTGTTACAAAGTATTGTCTATAACTACAATTTATCTCTAGTTGATGCTTTTATGGAACTTAAAGAGTAAAAAGAGACAAACTCTGAAGCTTCCAGAGGAAACTACAAGCAAAACATGGTACCAATGTCTGCTTCAAGTTGTTGATGTACAACGAAATTATATAATGAATTGCTCACGATATTGCTTCAGTTCATGAATGTATGATTGATCTGTATAACGAATTGCTCACATGCTTAAAGGGACCTACAAGGTGAAGAACTGTATGCATCCTTATGGATTCCCTTTATGAAATTGTGATAGGATGTAATAATGATTGAGGCAACCTTTAGTGTTTGCTGAGAGGTTGTAAGTCATATCAAAATGCAAAGTTACTATTTTCATTCTCATTTTTCAAGGTTGTTAAAATTATATCATGCACTGCTAAGATGGCATATGTGATTTCTTAGGGCAGTTTATGGGGATTGTTCAGATATATTGTTCATCAACCATAGAATTGCTAGTGACAGCAGAAGTTAGACGTCTCTTTCACTGAACGATGAGCCAGAAAACATATAACCACAAAATGCATATGCCTCAACACTACTTTTCTTAGTCTATTCATTTAGGGATTAACTTTGTTACATAGGTTTTAAACATATGGATGCTTAGATATCAGAAGTAAATTCTCTTGGAGAGGATTAAGGGAGATCAAACCGCAGAGAGTATTGTGTATTGCCAAAAGAATTGCTTTAATCTTGTGTGTTCATGACCTTGCAATAATATGTTATTGTGACATGGTCCTATTATCTCATTTTGGCCTGGAGAAAGTTTCTTCTAGATGCTACCAAGATTTTGGTGTGTACTTTGAATTGGCAATCCAATTCATCTCCTACTTAAGGTACTACCTTGGTTTGTAATTATCAAGCCGCACCTTTTATTTACCTGTTGAATTTATTATTAGTTCTAATAGCTTCATGGTTAATGTGATTTTTTTAACCATAAAATTCCTCTAAATCAATGTACAAGCAGTTTGATGAAATTGAACATTTTGCAAAAACATGTGCCTTTGAATTTTTGCCAAAGAGAAAGGTCGCATGCATGAAATTTGGTTAAAAGCCAAGAATTCTATCATGTGATACAGAATGATCATAGTGAGTCTAATTGGGTCAAATTGGTGTATAAGAGTTTTATTATGGTTATTTTGTAGGTTAGACAAGTTCCTTTTGCGAATTTTAAAGGTTTATTTAGATGGGATTTTGCAGGTTGATGAGATTGCCAAAAAATGATAAGTTTTCCTTCACAATAGCTCTTAGAATCTGATTTTTTTTTAATCAATTGAGTAATTACTTGCTTTCTTCACTCTTGTTCTATGGTTCGAAGTGTTATCTTCTCGAATTGGAGAAACCCTTGAAATGAGAGCTATATGCTATACATTAACTTCATTCTTAAATGTATAATGTCCCTAGAATCTACTTAAGAAGTCCTGTTTATCCTACTTTGGTAAAATAATTGGACAGCTGAAGGCATCCTGTTTCATCTTCCAGAAGAATCACTTGTAGATATTATTCACTCGTTTTAGAGTCTACTGTTATTTTGACTGTTTACGTATGGGTAGGAATAGGGTAGCTACCCTTCTTTTTTTCCTGAGATGGAGTAGGTTTAATTAAAGTTTAGCTAAAAGTGAGGCTGCTCTGGTTTAGTAATTAACGTAGTACCATGGCTTGATATTAAACACTCCAGCAAGAGTGGCTTGAAACAAACAATCTGACATAAAGTTTACTCTTGATTGGAGTAGTGTAGGGATTCAAGGTCATTTGACTTGAACTTTAGAATCAGTTCACATGCGGAGAAGGATGTTATAATGTATAACTATAAAGTTATGCTTAAGCATTTTAAATTTTGTTTGAGAGAATTCTTTGTTCAACCAAATTTTAAGATTGTGGAAGTAATATTTGTTCTGGATAGGATTTCTAGATTTGCTCTTGGATGGATTAGAAGATGTCTCTAGTAGTTTTGGGTAGAGAAACTTGATCGGTTGGGTTTAGTGGTTCATCTCTTTTTGCCTATTGTGCCTGTGGTAAAGAACTAGGTTGTACTGAAGTTCTTATAGAAATCCTATAAAATTTTAGACTCTGTGTTTATATTAGTCAAGTAAGAAATCTTGTTTTTAGTTCCAGGAAAGATATGACATTCTGACCATTGTGCAGCATATATTTAAGGAGACATATAGGAGGCCCCAATTGCAAGGACTTTCTTCTTATAACAGAATTCAGTAATTCAATAATTATAATTGCAGGCACTTAACTGCACCATCTGTGCTGAGGAAGAGAATATCATGCTTATTGTTTTGAAATAAATTTGTGTTTGTCCTTTGCATTATTATGTAAGAAATCTCAATATTAATGTGTGTGAGTTGTCACCTATGGTGGAACCTAATTATATTATGAGATTTTTTGCCATCAAATTCGATAAGATGTCTATAGGCTATAAATATTGTTTATTTTTTAAGTTGCGACTCTAGTTGAATGATATTTCACATTTTAGTCAAAGCAGAAGCCTGAAAACAAGGATAATGAGGCTGCAGTGTCAAGCGAGTTGAAGACTAGTCCTGGTTATGCTGGAGCTAATAATGCTCTTCTCACACCGGTAACAGGAAAGGGAGGAAAAACAAATGGCAGATCCAAGGCAGCAAAGTACAATAAGTCTGGACCTCAGACCCCTATGTCAAATGTTGGTGAGTACATTCATCATTTAAATACCATAAAAACATATTAATGCTGTTACTATTATACATAAACCTATCTAGTAAATGGTTAAGAAGTTAATGTTGTTCTTAGACTAGTCAGACCATCAAGCTATGACAATGATATTTCCAATTAAATATCTTGGTTTAATCTCTATGATTTGGGTCCATGCAGGTTCAGCCTCGGGCAATGTTCTCACTCCTGTTGGTACTTGTCGTTACGATAGTTCTCTAGGTGAACAAAGTCATGGTTAATTTGAATTCTGTCTGGAAAAGCTTGAAGCTTAAGTGATTAATTTGGAATTCTTTCTGCTTTTGTTTCTGACATATTGCATTTTGCAACTACATTTTCAGGACTCTTGACTAAAAGGTTTATCAGTTTGCTTAAACAAGCACAAGATGGCATCCTTGATTTGAATAATGCTGCAGAAACACTTGAGGTATTACGGATTACTACTATTTTAAATAACTCTTTATGTTTATCTGTACTTAGAGACACAAGTTAGAGTAATGCTATTGTCTAGGTGCAAAAGAGGCGGATATATGACATCACTAATGTCCTTGAAGGGATTGGACTGATAGAAAAGAAACTCAAGAACAAAATCTGTTGGAAGTAATTCATCTGTTTCCTCTTGGAAATTTCTCTTTTTTTTTTCTTAATGAAATGATCTTGGCTTCTACCAATATGAGGAACAATTTACATGGTACATCACTCATAGATCATTGCACGACAGGGGATTAGATAATGCGAGGCCAGGGGAGGTTGATGACGATCTTTCAGTACTACAGGTGCCAGACATGTTTTTTCCTTGCCATAAACAAAATCCACTCCTCTCGGTCTATGTCTAAACTGAGTCTAGATTTTGAAAATGAGCTCACCTGGATTCTCTTATTTGTATTCTCTTCAGGCAGAAATTAAAAAACTTGCATTGCAAGAGCATGGATTGGATGACCGTATCAGGTTGGATTTAGTAGGCCTGATAAACTATTGATGTGAAATATCTTACCAAATATTCTGAATTGTATTTCACAGCAAAATACAAGAAAGATTAAGGGTGTTTTCTGAAGATGAAAGAAACCAGAGGTAAGTGCTTTTTTTTTGTGCATTTACATCCTACATATGTAGCTAACCATCTTCTACAACATTTGTGGATTCAGGTGGCTTTATGTGACTGAAGATGACATCAAAGGTCTTCCTTGTTTTCAGGTTTTTCTCTGTTTCCTTGTTTCCTTAGAATTTGGCAAATATATATTGTCTGCTACTCTGTTATGAGTAACATTACCTGATATTCGTGCCTCTTGTACGCAGAATGAAACACTTATAGCAATAAAGGCACCTCATGGTACTACACTGGAAGTTCCAGATCCTGATGAGGTGCAAAGCGGCTAAGTTTTGGACCAAGTTGTTTCAGTTTTTTATTTCATAAATTAGCTAGAAATTCTTCCACCACATGCAGGCTGGTGAATATCCACAGAGGAGATACAGAATTGTCCTAAGAAGCACAATGGGTCCAATAGATGTTTACCTTGTTAGGTAATAATGCCTTTTCAGTTGTCACTTTGAACATTAGGCTTGACGGACAAGTACTTGAATTATGCTCTTCTCTTTGTCCCTTTTGTTTATCCCTTTGTCTTGGTTTTCCTTGTTGCTAGTCAATTTGAGGAGAAATTTGAGGAGATGAACAGTATTGAGACACCTTTGAGGCTCAATCCCATGGCAGATTCACAGACTGTTGAGAACTCCATGTTGGCGATTGCCACAGAAGAGAGCAGAAGAAAGGAAACGGAATTTAAGGATCAAGATTGTCAGAGGGCATGCCCCGACATAAGTTCCTCACAGGATGCTGGTGGTGGTATGATGAAGATTGTTCCTTGTGATGTTGACGTAAGTTCAGCTACTGAGTATACAAACCTTAACCCGATTAATATAAGTTATACCCGTGAGGGGCAGCTTATAATGGAGATTTAAGTCAATGTCCACCCACCATATGGAACTTACCTCTGATGTCTGAATGATCTGACTCTTCTATATTTTGGTAGTCAGCCCTATATCTTTATTTATTGTACTGTTAAAAGAGTAAGATAAGCAAGCCATTAGCAGCTTTTTTCTTATAGCCCGTAAGTGCATGTTTGAGTTGAACGAATCTGCTTTTATGAAGATGATTGTTTCTATTTTGCAGACTGATGCTGATTACTGGCTTCTATCAGAGTCTGGAGTCAGCATTACAGATATGTGGAAGACATCACGTATCCTTAAGACATCATTCTTCGTTTAGTCTTTGCTGTTTAACTGTTGTAAATTTCACTTGAAATCCTTAGCTTAATCTTTAGCGGAGGTCCAGTGGGATCGGATCTGTGCGTTTAGCACGGACGACTTCGTTACAAGTGGTGCTGGCACACCTCGGCCACCGGCTCCAACATCTGGTGTTATTGACCCTTTGACACAAACTCTACTCGGAAATAAATGCAGGGCAGACAATCTGTGACATTAAAATTGAAAACTTCATTCTCCAGGTGCATTAAAATTCTCATCTCACTGCCACAAAAGTCAAACCGGGAAACAATTCGGTGATCAAAGAATTAAGAGGTGAGGCTATGCAAGAGCACTCTCGATTCCGAGAACTAGCCACTGCAGTCCTATGTGTTGGATCGAGTATACATCTTACTGTATTGTTCATGCACGAAGATATAAACTCATCTTCATTTATCTACACATCTTTCTCTATGCTCCTAAATGTGACCAGTCTCATCCTGACTGTTTTCCGTTTTGTTAAGCAGAATACAACTATTTAAACATATCTTGATGTTGCTGTTCATTTTGTTTTGACTACAGATTGAGAAAGGTGCATTGCTTTTCATAAAATGCAAGCTAGTCATTCAAAGGCGCTAATGTTTCTTCATGTCATTTGCAGATATCAATTCTTAACGACGATTGCTTCTTCTCTATCTTTTCCTAACCTAACGTTGGCTTTCCTCCCTCTTTGGAGCCATATATATCTCTGCAAAAAAGGAGAAGCAAGAAAAAGAAAGACCATATGGATCAAGCAGGATATTAGAGTGCTTGAGGTACAAATAAATTCAGCTATCATGTTAAAACAAATTAATTATTATTAATCCTGAAGCTGGTACAAAAATGCATGGGCCATGAACAGCAGTTATGTGTATTTTTTACAGTCTGATAAGGGCTTAAAAAGAAAAAAAAAAAGCAACAATTTCCAAAACCCAGAGAAAAAATATGATGAAAATCTGAAAGATAAAGTAAAAAAATTAAGGTTCTCCAAACACACTTCAGCACTTGGGGTTTTGACACATTAGTCTCTTTGCGTCAACATTGTCCTTGAATGACTCATCAATTCTCGGAAAAGTTTTGATGCTAATGATGATACCGTTGAGCACGATGAAATCAGACTTGATCTTACATTATTGTGGACGTTGGATCGTTGTTAATGCAGCACTGTTAACGCCAGTTTGACTTGGGTACCACCATTGTTAATGCAACAATGTCAACGCCAATTTGACTTGCCAACCACCATGCAAGAAAGAACAAGTGATAAGAGAAAGATCTGAACTCGCATTGATCAGTAATATGGTTAGTTCAGAAATAAAGAATCTAAAAACTATTAGCTACCTTAGTTGGTAGAGAGTTTGATAATAAATCGTAAGATTTTAGACGCAAATCTTATTTTTATTTATTTATTTATTTATTTCTTAAATATAGGCATTCAATCATCTTACCATAGATAATAAACTAATCTCATATTCCAGCCATAAGCCACTTGAATGGTTCAAAGCAACTAAGATATATGCATCGCACCATCCAACCCAATTTGCGTTGAATGCAGAACAGAAATGCCTTAGCAATTTCATATTTTAGTGTCTAAAAGCAAAAAAAAAAAAGATAATTTCCGAAACGCACTCAGGAAAAATAGTATAAAATTCAGTAACCTGTATCTTACATGTACACTGTGCATGAGTTGCATTTTCATTAACTTGTCATTTATATATTCACATGACAATGATTGCACGTATTTGCAAACATCAGAATCTCTACCATATACTAGAGATGAAGTTTCTGCGAGAAACGAAAAAACAAGACTAAAATCAAATTCACAGTTCTATTTCCTTTCAACTCAAACTTGGGGTGATCCAGACCCGGTGCTTGCGGGGACGGCGACGTCGCTCACCCATTCTCACGACGCTTCTGATGCTACGATTCTCTATGTGGTAAACGTAGGCCGCGTAATTTGACCATGCATCAGTAGAGTATATATAGTTACCACGACACTCCGCTTCAGGAGCCGAAACTGAGATCATATGATCATCATTTAGGAACAGTGCTTGATCATCCAGGCTGTCGATCTTGATCCAAGCCTTGTTCTCAGATCGAGTCGGAACAGGTCGACATGCCAGGGTTTACGAATGCAGACCAGCGATATATTTCCCTGAGACTCAACCAGGAGCATGTCTCCGTCGTATGCTTGATACCTATCGATGGGAGGTGGCACGTACAACCCGAAGAGGAAGCATCTGAAAACTCAGTAAGTGCCCGCTCTGGCAATGTAACGCATAGAACCTCCCCTGAAAACTGACGACTGACTTGAAATATTTGACAAAGATACTGTATTCGACGGTCCAAAACTTGTCTCCTGGCCTCCAAATATGGATATTGTGTTCATGACTTGCGAGGAGGATGCAGCCGGGGTTCGCCGTAGACGAAGACACGTAAAGGAACCTTATGCCGGTATGGCAGAGTGCTGGAAGGTCCATTTTCACTCGAGAGAAAGGATTCAATAGAGAGATCGTGTTACTCTAGTGGGGCTGCAGCACGATAAGAAATCTCTAAGTTGTCAAGATCATGATTTATATATTAAAAAAATATTAAGTTATAATTCAAAATATCATGATTCATAAAAAAATCTCTTTGAGAACACATAATAAGATATCTTGATTCATAAAATATTTCAAGTTATAATTTCGAGGAATCAAAATCACGTAAAAACTCATTCAAATTTAAATAATTAAAATCATCAAAATCACTTTCAAAAAATTTAAAATGACATAAATAGATTTATTAATCTCTTAGGATCTCTTGCTGAAAATTTTAATAAATTTTTGGGGATAGAATCATTTTCAAGAAAAATAATGCACTCGTAATTGATTTCATATAAGCATGTCATTGTTTTCTAAGCCAAAACTATACAATATCATTTAAACTCGAAAAATAAGCATCATCATGATTAATATTATGACATATTAAAACATCTTCAAACAAAATATTTAATTTACTAATAATCATTTTAATTCAAATGATCTTTCTTTTGTTATTATTTATTGTAGTAATACATTTTCTTTTTTAAGTGAATCTAACTTTTCATGCTTAGTGCAAAGAATTAACATGTAATAGTCATGCTCATTAATTAACTTTTTTTTTAATTTTAAAATCACTAGAAAGATAAGCATGATCCCTCCCTTATTTTTTATATTTTATATACTAATTGAAAAATAACTCATGAAAAGCATCTAAGTAATTTCATAGTAAAGTAAAAGGGTTTTGGTTGAGTCACTTACCTCATTGTCGAAAGCCATCAAAGCGTAGTTTGCAATCTCGTCTTAGAATGCACTCATTTCATCCTCCACTATCGCCTTGAGTGTATTCTTACGAGTACCTTCTTCTTTAGTTGTGAATATTCACTTTTGAAATGCCCTTGCATTCGTAGTAAGTTGTTTTGTCCTTTATTTAGTTTATTTTTATTTTTAATTATTGTTTCATAAACATTTTAAATTTTATACAGGGAAGTTCAAAGTCATCATCATCACTTGAGTTATCACTCAAGTTGTATTCTATTATTCGAAGTGCCAAATCCTTCATGTTCTTTAGAAGGTAATTCTCATATTCATCATGTTCAATATAAGTCATTTCATAGGCCATCAAAGACCCAATAAGTTCTTCGAGCGAAAAATTATTTAAATCCATCACTTTTTGTATTGCAGTTACTTCGGATCCTAATTTTTAGGACGAAAACATAAAATTTTATTAATAAGTTTAGGATTCAAAAAACTTTTACCAAGTACTTTCAAACTATCGAAGACATCCATAAAACGGGTGTGTTAATAATACTTTCGTTTGGCTTTATTCGAAACAATTTAAAATCATGCATCAAAATATTTATTTTAGACTCTTTAACTCTACTAGTGCCTTCGTGTGTGATTTCAAGTGTGTGTGTCAAATCTCATAAGCCGTTTCGCAAATAAAAACTCGATTGAATTTATTTTTATCCAAAGCACAAAACAAAGCATTCATAACTTTGGCATTCAAAGAGAAAGTTATTTTCTTCAAATCATTCCATTCGTTTATTGGAAAAAAAAAATTTTGAAATATATTTTTAATGATATTCCATAACTCGAAATCAATAGAAACTAAGAAAATCTTCATTTTAGTTTTCTTGTAATTTGTTCCATTGAACATGGGAGGATGTGTGATAGAATTACCCTTTTGATTACCAATAAAAACCATTTCTCTTGGGTTTTAAACCAAATTGAGAGTAGCCTAGCTTTGATACAAACTGTTAGGATCAAGTCGATACTAAGAGGGGTAGGGGGGAATTAGTGCTTATGTAAAAACTGCAATGATTCAAAAATCTCGTTCGATAATAGCTCATATCGAAAATATACTTGACTTGAAAGTATGTTTGTAAGCATAGTGAAAGTAATAAGCAAGTAAATTAGTTTGTAATATAAATAAAAAATATAAAAAAAATACAAACTAAGTTTTATAGTGGTTCGGTCGTCGTAACCTACATCCACTCCTAATTACCCTTATAACTCTTTCTCTTTTTCACAGGCTTAGGAGAGGACCTTTACACTTATCTTTTAGACCCCACTCCTCTTTTAGAAAACTTCTAACTAGAGTAGATGACTATAAATCCTAAGAGAGTTTCTAATTTTTTTCATAAGGATTCTTTCCAATTTTTTAACTCAATTTCATGCATTTGCCAAGCAAAAATATCTGGGGTATTTATAGACCCTAAATGACTTTAAAAATGGAGCCAAAAAAGGTCTCATCTTGTGTTTCTTGGGTTCTGGCGATACCACCACCTATGCTGGGCGGTACCACCGCCTGTAGCAGTGAGACTAGGTAGTACCACCATCCAATCTAGTGGTACCACTACTTGACACTAGGTTGTGCCATTGTCTGACACTATCTCAGAGATTATGTCTTGCAGATTGAGCCTCTAGGGGTGCCATCGCTTGACCCAACTTTTAGATTACTAAATTGGTCTTTCTCTTGGCCCAAAACAGTCCCAACATAGGCTCAATTGACCCCTAATTGAGTTAACTTAATTACATTTTAAACCAACCCAATTATAACTAAAACTATTTCGATCTAAACAATTATTACAAAGCATTAATCACATATTGTCCGACATATCATTCGTTCATCAATGCTTCGTCTAATCCTTCGATACATCATCCTCTTTTGGGGCCTTTTGCCTAATCGGCTTGTTGACCTCCGTAACTTCGATCTCTTTAGCGCAATGTCTGCTTTTCTATGCCCGATGCCCGAAGTCATGGCACGAAGCCTTCTATCGACACGTCGATCGATTCTCCGGCTCGACGTTTAATCTTCTGACATATTCCACTCCGGCCCAACATTGATTCTTCCAGCTTTAATTATCTCTTCATGATCGAAGCTAATCTTGCATTACACAAAACACATATTAAATCATAAACGTTATCAATTAGTTTTATCGTCAAAATTCGAGATTTAACATTAATAAGTACAAATACATTTCGAATCTTGGTAAGTTATTATGGATAACTTTTTTGTTAAATTTCTAAATAGATAACTTATAGATTATTATTCTTAAGTTTGTATTATATTATATTATATAAGAGATATCAATCTTGATCCAAAGGTAAATTATCTTGATATATGAGATAAAAGAGCATGCAATTAATTTTTCACTTATATGAATATAAAAAGTAGTTGATGTACGTAGGTTAGATCACCTCGATTCTTAGCTCAGTCATCATTAGGAAAGACATTTATTTGAGGAAAAAATTATAATTTGAGGTCGCGGAAGGAGATGCTTAGTAGCAATCCAGTAAATCTTTATAGTTAATGCATAGATGCAGCAAATCTGAATGGAGCAAATCGATTGAGATTTTAGGATGTATAGGAGAAAAATAATACATTTGTCTTAAGTTATATCCGTTGGAGTTGATCCACAACTAATTAAGAATTGGAATCGAATTGGGTCAACACTCCAATAATTTCAAACCAAATAGAATTTCAATTCTAAAGATTCAATTGAAGTTCCTCATATTTAGAACTAAAATCAAAATCGTCGATTCTAAACCAATTAGAATTATAAAAAAATCTGAATATCCCCCCTATAAATGATGAATTTATAATAAATAACTAATTAAAAATGTATTTTAAAAAAAAGATAGTTTAAGTTTGGAATATAGTTCTTTAATATAGTTCTTGAACTATAAAAAAAGATGTTTGATTGATCATGCATTCTATATTATGTATACGAACTTAAAAGAAGAATAAAAGTTCTATTAAATCTCTAATTGGGTACAAATATGTTTCTTATGAGAATCTCCATTAATTATTGTGGATAAGTTTTCATTAAATTTCTAGATAGATAATTTCTAGATTATTATTCCTTTTAAGTTTGTATCATATTATATTATATTCCGTTAAATTTGTATCATTAGAAAAGTCTTTTTTTTTTTTGCAAAGGTTGAATTTATTCGAGAAAAAATCTATAATATATTATATATTTGAGGTAATAGATGAAGATGCAGTGTAGCAATCTAATGAGTCTCTTCAGTTAATGCATAGATATAGTAAAATGGAGCAAATCCATTAAGATTTCAGGATGTATAGGAGACAAATAATACAAGTTATATCCGTTGGAGTTAGACCCACAAGTAATTAAGAATTGGAATCAAATTGGGTCAATAGTTCGATGAATTTAAACCAAATTGAAATTCAATTCTAGAGATTCAATTCAAGTTCCTAATATCTAAAACCGAAATCAAAATCGTCAGTTATACACCTATTATAATTATAAAAAAAATTATATATCCCCCTTATAAATGATGACTTTATAATAAATAACTAATTGAAGAATTATTTTTAAAATATAAAAAATGATAGTTTTAAGTTTGGAATATAGTTCTTCAACTGAGATCAAAATCGTTTGATTCAATTTCAATTTCAAATTAGATAAAATTTTAAATAAAATTGAGTCTGACTACCTAAATCGACTAATGGATAATTTTCTTTTTACTGAGTTTTAGTAGGCATTCATATTACGATGCATCAAAGTATAGGAGGTTTGGTGGCATTTGAAGTATCTCCACTCCCAACAAAAAAGATATTGTTATGATACCCTCAGTTTATGATAAAAAGACCTCTTGCATTATCATAGCATTATATAAGCTAATGAGATAGTTAAACATTATCATCGCAATAGTATATCTCTTAGAAATACTATTTAGACAGATTTGAGGATCTTTGACTCCTTAGAATTTTGTTCTTATAATATTTTGCATTGTGAGCTTTCTTTGGTTTGTTGAATGGATTAGAGAGTGTATTACCACTCCAAAGTGTGCTTATCTTCTTTTCTCTTTCATATAGCTAAGGAAGTCTCATCTCAGTACTTGATTCAGGGATTAGGGGTTTGTTGATTGACCTATTCATTCTTTAGAATCTCTCTCTCTCTCTCTCTCTCTCTCTCTCTCTCTCTCTCTCTATCTCTCTCTCTCTCTCTCTCTCTCTCTCTCTCTCTCTCTCTCTTCATTATATGCTGTAAAGGATGAATTATAATATGTCTATAAGATCTTTGGCATGAAGATCAATGTTCAAAAACCTGAACTATTTTGTGCTCGAATATGCAATCATCAAATTGTTCAGGTTTCAGAAGCTTCAAGGCTACTGCAAATATGACCTCCCTATCAGGTACAATTGAGCCTTCCATTAATCTTCAGCAAACTACCGATGGGTGATAGCTGAATTCTTATTGATAAGGTCACTACATGTATCACAAACTCGAATTCCGGACATCTTTCTTATGCATGTAGATCACCACTAATTAAGTCTCTACTATCCAACGTTTCCAACAATTGGAAATCTGCCTGCATGTATATTTCATTCAGTGCTCTCTCTCTCTCTCTCTCTCTCTCTCTCTCTCACACACACACACACACATTCTTGTCAAAATTTACTACACATGTATACCTGCCCATAATTTTGAAGCTCTTTAATTGTCAGTATGTGCTTGGAGATTAACTATTCATGCTAGAGATGAGCAAATCAACGAGGATAAAGACTAGCTAATATACAGGTGACCGGACATGTGATGATTTACATGCCTCATCTACCTGCATTGTGATCGGAGAGACGCATGCCATGCCTACATAAAGCTGCAGGCGGCAGATCATATCACCTTGTTGGATCTTCTACTGTAAATTCCTAAACAGTGTGGGTCGGCTGATACGCTTTAAAACCATTACGTGTATTATTCTTTTCCTGGTTTTGTATGCTATTCGATCCGTTTCTTTTATATTCATGTCAGATTTCTTGTAGAGTTATTATCGAAAATTAAGGGTATTCTTGTTGGATTATAACTGAATTAATTCAAGCCAAATTATAGTGTTCGAATCGATTCATCAGTTATTTGATTTTAAGAACTATAGACGACGATTCTAGTTCAGGGTATATTTTTTCGTTCGATTGATCGATGCAGATCGATTTTAATTTAAAACATATCAATCCGATTGAGTTCACTATCCTAAGTCCTTAATCGATTCAAACTATTCAATTAAATTGGTCAAAATATCTAATTTTATAAATAATATAAGCTTAATTTTTATAAATATTATCAAAAATAAATATTTTTAAAATTATTTAACATTATAACTTATTAATCGGTTAATTGAATCGGATTAGTCAATATTGAATTGGTTTGATGTCGTAGATCCGAATCATTCGAACTATTTTATTCTAATCGAATGAAAAAAAAATGATTTAATTTTAATGATTCGATATGAACTGGTATGAACGTTTCTCTCTGTAATACTATCATTACTTAGACGAATTATATAATCAACATTTTTTTTTTGAATTATAAAATTAAGCTTACCTTTGTTTTAAGTAACGACCAAGTGGAGGCAGCATTCAGGCAATTTGCAGATCTTTCTCTGTATCTGCAGAAAGAGACTCCTCAAGCAATCTTCATTGTTGAAATGTGCCATGTTCTTAGGTCTATCCCCATGTGTTGTGCCATTAAGAAACAACAAAACCATGAAGAAGCAATGTATGGATAACTTATAAAGTGGAACTGACAGAGAAGATGTGTTTTCTTTGTTGATGGAAAAGCTCCAGTCAAGCTTGTTTGCTTCATCTTTCAAGTTATGTGGTTGAGATGCAAGGAATTCTTTTAGGTCTTCACATTGGCACACATAAGAAGAAAAGGGATTGAATGTAATCTAAACTGCAAGATAACCCTCTCTTCTTAACAGCCAAATCAGGAGGTGGAAATACAGATGTTAAGGTCATAATTGCTTAGCTTTTGAAAGGACTACCATCTAAATGAATAAGAACATAACATGCTTAGCTGGGATGAGGAGGTTTGCATGCAGAAGCTGCTGATATATTATATATCAATCACATTAATGCTTCTCTGACATGCATGATGGTGTTGTCAAGTCTCCTGTACATGGATTTTGGTGCTGTACATCACATGATCACTCCTTTACTTTTGCTTAACCAAAGCAGCCACCAAACTTGAGATCTAAGCACTGATTGATACATCGAACCTAAAAATAATAGCAAATTCCAATCCAAGACACCATAACCTCCCTGCGTAGGTCATTGTGCCTTAAAGCAACCCCTTAATCATCCACGAGGGATCCAATGAAGCTGAGAGAGATCTATAAGGAAGCAGTGGATGGTCAAGGAAGGAAATCGATTAAGATGATTTTGATTTGCATTATTTGTATTAATTACCATCTCAGTGCGCATTTGAATATATGGTAGATTTAAATCATCCATGTAAGCTTGATGTTGGATTGATTCTTTTTCGTGGATCCGAATCATAGTTTCCAATTCTCCATAGCATACAGAGATCTTTACTTTCTCCTTTCACTTCCTCCAACTATATATAAATGAGCTGAGAGGATCATAATGGAATTGCATCAAATGCAGAAACAATTGATGTGGCTTTGTGATGAGCCAAAGTGGATGCCAAGTTAGTACGGCATGCACGACTAAGTACTCAATAATAGGCATTTAAGTACTCCCATGCGATGATAACGGCCAAAACCGCTACCCGACACTGTGCGCTGCTGCTCGTCCAACCTTTGACCTTCCCCTTCGCATTGATTGACTCCATAGTTTATGGCGACCCGCAATCTGAGCAAAGACATGATCACCAGATCCCGCTGCGTGCTCCTCTTTCCTCTTCCCAATCCGTCTTGTCAACCCTTATCGGAGATCACTCGCTATAAATACATTCCCAACTCAATCCTCCGCAACACCTCCATCCCTCTCTTCTGCATCATGGCGCAAACTTTCGGCTCTCTGCTTGCACTGCTACTCATCTCCTACCTCTCCATCACCATGGCAACGGCGGCCTACAACGTGGTGGACTTTGGCGCCAAGCCGGACGGGCGCACCGACGCGGCCAAGGCGTTCCTCGCTGCATGGGCGGCCGCCTGCGGGTCGAACCAGCCGGCGACGATCATCGTTCCGTCGGGCGGGTTCCTGGTAAGCCAGGCGCTCTTCAGCGGCCCCTGCAGTAACACCGGGATGAGGATGTTCATCAAGGGGACCCTCATGGCTCCCGCTGGTTACAGTGATTCCACACAGTGGATTACCATCAAGTATGTGGAAGGGTTGTCCATCTATGGCGGAAGGCTGGATGGGCGGGGACAGGCCTTCTGGGCCTGCAAGAACGCTCGCCGGAGCTGCCCCTACGGTGCCACGGTAACAGTCTAAACTCTTAAGCTACCAGTAGAAGAAGAGTACACGAAGGCTAATGAATGAACGTGCCGCGAATTACTGCAGTCATTAACTATTGGGCAGTCGAAGAACCTCTTGTTGAGTGGCATAAGGCTGGTCAACAGCGAGCTCTTCCACATGTCCATCTTCGCTAGCAGTGGCATCACACTGCAGGGTGCAACCATCACAGCACCGGACGACAGCCCCAACACCGACGGTATCCATATCCAGATGTCTAGCTTCGTCACGATCACCGGATCGACCATGAGGACCGGCGACGACTGCATCTCCATGGGGCCTGGTTCCACCGATGTGTGGATCGAGAATATCAAGTGCGGCCCTGGCCACGGCATCAGGTCGGCAACTTCAACTTCACATGCGTACGCTTCTCGAAATTATCGGTGTCCGCCAACATGGTAATCGAACTTGTTCTCGTGGTCTGCAGCGTCGGAAGCTTGGGCGGCGAAGCACAGGAAGCCGGAGTGCAGAACATAACGGTGAGGGCCGTCGAGTTCACGGGGACGCAGAACGGGTTGAGGATCAAGACATGGGCGAAGCCGAGCAATGGCTTCGTGAAGGGGGTCACCTTCGAGCACGCCGTCATGAAGAACGTCCAGAACCCGATCGTCGTCGACCAGAACTACTGCCCCGGCACCGTGAACTGCCCCGGCCCGGTAATCTTAGAACCATCAGCTGCAGAACCTAAAACGCAGTCACCTTCATTACCTTTCTTCTCTCATCAATGTTGCAGAGCTCAGGAATCAAGATTAGCCAGGTGAAATTCAACGACGTCCATGGCACATCGGCGACCCAGGTGGCGGTGAAGCTCGACTGCAGCCCGAGCAACCCGTGCACTGGAATCGAGTTGCAGGACATCAAGCTCACTTACCAGAACGAGCGGTCCCTGTCCTACTGCAAGAATGTGAAAGGGACTGCCTCAGGAGTTATGATCCCATCCAGTTGCCTCTGAACCATGGCGCCATGGCATTGCATCAGATAGTGTATGCTACCATATATTGTATCTTTAGGCCGTCTCCAGCTGACTGGCCCCCGACGTTCACCGGAGTTGTGGTGAACGGAGCTGTCGCAGTTCTTGAGAGACTAGATTTGTGTCTTATGGTCATGTTGTTTGTGGGAACAACAAAGAAATCAAGCACTATTTGCTATGTGCCGCAGCAGATGAATTGATTTCTGATATGTAAGAAAGGCTCCTCCGGAATCTCATATTAGCATCTATTTACCCTCCTTTTCTCAATCTCGGTACTTATTCCTGAGACTTGATGTCATTTTGTCTCATAATGGTATTGATGAGTCCCATTTACTATTCAATGCCATGAGGAGCCATTTCTTAGTATTGTTGTTCTTAATAAAGTCTCATTAACAATGCCTACTCGAAGGAATTCTCAGAGTAGAGTTCAATCAGAGAGACCATCCTGCTTGGGGAAAAATTTCCATGTTTTCACAGTGGCTGTGGGAGTCAAAGAGTCATGACTATTCCACATAATTTATATACATATATGAAGCTCGTGCTCATGTGTTATGGACACGAACATATGGGGATCGAAGTTGGAGGGGTGGACTGCACATCCAACACAAGGCATAGGGGTGGGTCTACCGAACCTCGCCAGGGTTGCGGGGCAAATACTTGAGATGTGATCAAATCGTGTCTAGAATGGCAGTTTCAATCACTAAGGTGACCGATGGCGTAGCCGATGGACATGATCGATTCCGACGCGTCAAATCTAGCACCTGTACTGGTGTGTCGATATGTCAAACTATGATTGGATAATTTTCCCCTCTATCAGACTACTACAAGTGATAAAAGCCCATCAGGTGACAAAAAATCATGTTACAGAATTTTAGGTGGGTTGGATTGATACATGAACCATCACGAACAGCACAAATGTAAATCTATAACACGCAAAGTCTTCAAATAACTCTAACCAACATTGCATATTCTATTGTAGGAAATGCCAGTAAGAACCATAATAACACAGCACCATCGAAGATCGTGTCTGCCAATCGACAAACCTTCTGCCTTTTAAAGCTTTATTAGCATATAGTTAGAACAAGTTCAGTACCAACATTCATTTTTCTTTCTTTTCACCACACCATCAAATGTCGAGGACCAAAAAACGAATACAAGGAAACGAGCCCCAAAACTAGGTTCGAGACACCCTAATATACTGGACACATGGATGAGCGAAATGATGGATGGATGGATGGATGGATGGATGAATATACCCAAAATCATCAGCAGTTACACCCAAAAGCAGCAGATTTGCTGATAAAGGTCACTATTAACACACACATCCAGGAACAACCATACTAATAATGGTATTTAGACTGTACTTGTGGGGACCACTGGTTTCCCGCGACCCATGGTAAATCCTCTTGTACCATCCGGCATGCGAGGGCCAGGAGGTTGCTTATGAGCTACTGCAGGTTGCTCACGATCGGGATGAATCACATAGCTAGAAGGTGGAGTGCCAACCGCATGCCCTCCACCGCGGCTATTGTTATAAGGCTGGCCACGTCCTCGTCCTCTCCCTCCTCGGCCCCGACCTCTTCCTCGCCTTGGAGCTCCATCTCTGTCATTGAAACTCTCCTCGCTCTGAACAAAGTATCATATATTCAATCATGTTTACAACTACCAACCATCAACTCAACATATTTGAACAGCCCTGAAACAACTCCATCCTAGACTGATGATTTACCATAGAGATAAAGATTAGGTTTTGGTCTATCTGATTTATTTCTTGCATATTGATTCAGTTATTTATCTAACTGGTAGGCATCAAATAAACTGAATCTTTATTAGAGAAGAAAGCTTTAACATGTCATGGTCGGAAAGAGGAGCATGCATTCTTACCTCATGCTCATGCAACACTTCAGACGGGTGATATGTATCCTCAACCTGCTTCTCATTTGAATGGGTTGACGTGCAGACATCCTCTTCCCCGTTAATATCGGCTTCATGCCCTCTTCTTCCTCGAGCTTGCCCATGTTTTGTCTGGATTGGAGATGGCGAAAATGAGTTACAGCTAGTAACTTAAAAAGTTTCACTTCACTAGCTTATGTAGCTTATCAACTCATGAAGTAAGGAACAGATACAAAAATTTTGATAATACAAATTATATAGTCTTCTCATACAGTCTAGTATTCCTTTTTGCTCAACAGGAGCAAATAGATAAGATCTATTAAATCAAACAAAGAAGCATCATCAGGTCATGCGCATTATATCTAGAAACCCAAAACTTATGCAAGAACCAAGCACGACATCCAGTCAGAATTACAATCCTAAACCTTTACATAAAGAAGGGAAAACATTAAATTGAAAAATATATCTACATATATATGACCCAGCTTTTGATTGAAATCTAGCAACACCCATCTACGTTTTTGATAAAAAAACAATAACCTGCAAATCCTCTTCCTCATCATATATTCCAACTGAACTAGCAGAATTCCAATCAATGCTGGAACAGATAGTCATAATAAGTTATTATGGGTCATATTTATATTCCCTGCCGTGAGAACAAAACAATTTTCATATATGGGAAATTGAATTTCAAGGTAACACCTCTTTCTACCACCACTGCCTTTTTAATTAGTTGCACACTCGCACACAGATGAGATACCCAACAGGTATAGAGCATGGTGTGCATGCACATACACAGAAACAAAGCAAATGTTTAGAATATGATGATTCTAGACCAAGCAAATGTTTGAAAGTAAGTTATAAACTAAGATTTGTGAGTGATAATGCAAGTCACTACAGAACACAGAATGAAAAACATTATGATTACCACAAATTTAGGAAATAATCGAAGTTTGAGTCCAGTTCTCCAGTTCTTCTCATCATTCAGTTCTGCTACCTGTGTGCCCAGATAACAATACATCAGCATAATTAAAGCTTAGAAAATGCAAAAATCCTACGAAAAAAGGGACTAATAAACTTACTGCTTTTTCAGCATCTTCGAGAGTCTCATACACCACAAACGCATGCAACTACAAAGGAAAAGTCTATAATTAAGGATTCATATTATAATCTGCATATGTACAAGTGCTACGAAACTCTGCAAGCTATAGATAGTTAAAAAAACACAATTTATGTAAAGCTAACATGTACATAAGGTTCCCCGAGGACTAAAGTGTCAGGAGAGAGGTGCACGAATTTCCATTAACTCAATAGTACAATCTTACAACATTTTCTCAATTTTCAGAAACATCAACTAGCTAAAAATCTAGTTGTTGAGAAAAAGACCATTTTTTAATACAACCAACTTTGAAAGAGAAATTCACCGTACAAATGAGACTCAAATAGATAGGCAAACAATGTTAGCTAACCATGAAAAATGTGCAAATGTTAAAAAGCAATCAGCATAATAATGAGAAGGTACATTTTAAAAATGCCATCTAACAGCCACACAAATAAAACAATTGACAGAAATACATACTCTGTTGCCAAAGAGCATTTCTAGTTTTGTTGGTCTATTAACTGCAGCAGCAGTTCCATTGGGAGGCTGTGGGTAGCATGTGCGAATTGTCTTTACACTACAGAACAGCATCACCTAAGTCATTTAGGTTTCAAAATCATATAATATTTACAAATTACAATATACTCTACCTGCCAACAGCTGAGAAAATCTTCATAAGATTCTGATAGCAGTGATCCTCAGGCAGATTTTCAGCCACAACAATGCGCGACTAAGAAAAAAAGGACAAAACTGTTATTAAAATAAGACCACATAAAATGTTGAAATAACATCAATAGCGGTCTGGTTGAACCTCTCACCTGCAACTCTTCCATGTCTGATTCTGTAAACGGCTGTTGGCGCCCAACTTTTTTACCATCATCACTTACAACCTGTAACTAACTAAATTTAGTACACTAAAAGACTAAGCAAGTACCATCATATCTATGACATCTATGACTAGAAAACATATTTAGAGATGCATTATGCAATGCAAATTATGCCACGGTCATGGTATACATACAGTTCCCCAGAACGAAAAAAAAAGAGAGGTTCAACATATTATAAATTAAAATGAGGAGCATTACTCAAGTGTGTTAACATATCCCACCAGTTTTGATGATGTCCGGAGTGCCATAGCAAGCTGAGAATTGTTGTGGACTAAGGCCCTAATTTTCTTAAACCCTGCAACAACTGATATTGGAACTGCACAGTGGCGAAAAAAAAGGATGATTAGGCAATCTCTATTACAATCTGATCTCCCAATTCTTCTCACAGGTCAATCTTCCAAATGTTGAAAAAAGATGCTGAAAATATCGATTGCTATTTGCATGGCAAGTCAATGAAGCTACAGCTTAAAATTTGATAAAAAGCACATGATACTTTTTCTCCAACTGGATAACCAATTAGGTGATGCCAAAATAAAATATTAAAATATAAAGTATAAATGTCATCTCAACGTACAAATTATACCTTTCAGGTGACAGGTGAAATAATAATTTACCAAACAATACAACTACATATCTATTGCTCAACTTCAGCTATAAACCATGTCAACTTTCAGGGGAAGCTGGGTGTTCCAGCTTTAGGTCACTGACAGCTACAAAAGGATTCATCAACAGGTGCAGTCTTTCCAAATGAAAATAACTTCTACAAATAATTTACAATCAAATGCCAAGGTCAATCTGCAAATTAGACAAGATGTATAATCTCCAAGCATCTGTTCCATATGGTCCCATAAAAGCTATAACAAAAATCAATTCTCAAAATTGGTTCTGAAACCCTTCAGACACCATATAAATATCAAAAATCTTCATAGGGTACACATATTTGAGTATTAGGCCTTTAGGATGAATATAGTCGCCATTAGATCACATGGAAGGCTTCTAAAGGACCAACCTCTCTTTCCACATACAAAGCAAATGTTTTCTCTACATTCGACCTACAATCCCACAAAATAGAACACAAAATATGGGCATTGCAGAGAATGACACCATAAATTAGTACAAACTAGGACAACAATGTTCCCAGCGAAGCACCAGTACTCTATAAATGAACTCCTCAGGCATTGGTAAAAATACATATTTGCCTACATGTCTCTCTTGCTCCTGCAAGTTAGAGCTGTTGTTACAGTTCCATCTTTGCAGTCTATTAATTGCCAAATTTTATTTTGCCACCAGGAAAAGAATGAGGTTGCTTTTTGCTCAAGTTAAAATGCAAGTGAATTATAAAAAACATTTTCTGTCAAATGAACCATTGGCAAATGTTGGTTCCTGAT